TTCTGTTGGGTCACCTCTCTTTGGAATGGGCACAAATATGGATGTCCTCCAATCAGTGGGCCCACTTCCTGGGATATCTACCTTTCTGAATTTTATTAGGAGTTCTGGTGTAGTGCTGTGGGTTAATTTGCTGGGCTGCAGTATCAGTTTGAACAACAAGGTCGGTGGTTCAAGCTCATCAGCCACTCTTCGGAAACCCTATACAGGGTCACTGTGGTTCAGAACGAACTCGACGGCACTTAACAACAACAAATTTAATTAATTTAAAAATATATTTTTAGTACTTTTTATCTGCCAAACACTCTTGTTGTAAACTGGAGATATAAAGATGAATAAAACTTACCTTCCTTATGCTGACTTGCTGTCCTGTTCTTAAGACCCAACTCAATTCCAACCTCTTTCATGAAAACTTTTTGTCTCCTCAATAATACTGTGCACATTGCTGTTTGAAATCCAATTTGACTACATAATGTTGTACTCAACATCTTATTTCACCCATGTTCAACAATTATTTTTCAGATCTATTTAATAATTTTAACCCTGGTGTGGAACTGTAGGATAAGCACTGCCCTACTAATTGTAAGATTGGCAGTTCCAACCCTATATACAGGTTCACTAAGAGTTGAAACAGACTCGACAGTACACAACATCACTTAACAATTTATCTTTACATGGTAAATTTATCCATTGAATATTTACTGTTATGTCTTCTTGTTGTTGGTTCTAGATGCTGTCAAGTCAGTTCTGACCCATAGTGACCCAATGTACAACAGAACGAAACACTGACCAGTCCAGCACCATTCTACAATTGTTGGTATGCTTAAGCCCAATGCTTCTGTCGACTGTGCCAATTCGTCTGGTTGGGGGGTCTCACTGTCACTCTATTTACCAAGCATGGTGTTCTTCTTCAGGGACTGGTCCCTACTGATAACATGTCTGAAGTATGAGAGACAAGCCTGGCCATCTTGGCTTCTAAAGAGCATTCTTGTTGTACTCCATCCAGTTCTGATTTGTTTGTTCTTCTGGTAGTCCATGATAACTTTAATATTCTTCTCCAACATCATAATTAAAATGTATTGATTCTTCTATAGTCTTCCATATTCATTGTCCAATTTTCACATGTATTTGATGCTACTTAAAATACTATGTTTTAGGTCAGGCACACTTTAGTCCTTAAACTGACATCTATGCTCTAAAAAAAACTCTAAAGGGATCTCATGGGGATCATGACCAAGGGCAAAGACCTTACTATCCAGGTGCTTACATTCTAGTAAGGCAAGGCAGGCAATAAGTGTTAAACAAATAAATGAGAAATTTAAGTAAGTGACATGAATTATGAAGCAAAGTCATTGGGTATAGAGTGGTGGAGACAGGAAATAAATAATCTATCTAACCCGATATGCAGATGATACAACAGTGCTTGCTTAAAGCCAAGAGGACTTAAAATACTTATTGATGACGATCAAAGACCACAACCTTCAGTAAGGGTTGCACTTTAATGTAAAGAAAACAAAAATCCTCACCACTGGACCAGTAAATAACATTATGATAAATGGAGAAAAGATTGAAGTTGTCAAGGTCTTCACTTTTCTTGGATCAACCATCAACACTCACGGAAGCAGCATTCAGGAAATCAAACAACATATTGCATTAGGCAAATCTGCTGCACAAGACCACTTTAAAGTGTTGAAGAGCAAAAATACCAGTTTAAGGACTAAGGTGCACCTGACGCAATCCATGGTATTTTCAATAATCTCATATACATGTGAGGAGTCCTGCTGTGACATTGAAGGTTAATGTGCTGAACTGTAGGGTCGGTTTGAACTACAAGGTTGGCGGTTCAAACTCACCAGCCACTCCTTGGCAACCCTATACAGGATCGCTATGAGTGGGAACCAACTCAATGATACTTAACAACAACACCACATACACACGAATAGAAGCATTGATACATTTGAGTTATGAAGCTGGAGGAGAATATAAAAAATACTACAAACCACCAAAAGAACAAACTGATCTGTGATGGAAGAAGTACAACCAGAATGCTCCTTAGAATCCAAGATGGTGAGATTTTGTCTCTCAATCTTGGGACATATTATCAGGAGAGAACAGTCTCTAGAGAAGGACAACATGCTTGGTACAGTGAAGGGTCAGCTAAAAACATGAAGACTCCCAATGAGATGGAATGGCACAATGACAGCAGCAATGGACCCAAGCATAGCTACAATTGTGAGTTTGGTGCAGGCCTGGGCAGTGTTTTGATCTGTTGTGTATATGACCACTATGAATGTCAGTATCCACTTGATGGCACCTCATGAAAACATGTGGATGGCATTTGTATTGACAGATGATGAAAGAGAGTACTCCAGCCTGAAGGAATAATATCTGTAGTCATATCATTTAGCTGGTATGCTATATCATCTAAAGGCATGGCCCCAAAATTCTTAGAAGACATATATTGCCAATGGCCCCCAAATTCTCTCATCAACAGTTGGAGATGGATGATGCCTATCCCTTGGATGGGTGGACTTGTGACTACAATTGACTAGGTCATAAAAGGCAATGGACTCTGGGGCCATCCAGAGTGAAGAACATGAGGGGAATATGAGATCCTAGCCAGAGAAACAGCAACACCAGAGATGGAGGCAGGGATGCTGGCATAGAGAGATAGAGCAGTTAAGGACTCTAGACTCATGGAAAGAGAAAGGCTGTGTGCTCACAGGAAGGAGGTTGGTTTGAAAAATGTGCCCTTTGGTTGTTTAAACAGTTCTATATTTGTGTGTTTGTGAACATCAAAAAAAGAAAAAAAGGAAATAGAAGCAAATACTGTTAACTGATGGTGCATGGAGAGGATTATAATCAGTGCTTGGAAACAAAGTACAATTGGTTGAGTACAAAACCAATTTTCTACAATGTAAACTATTACTTAGTTAATAATAAAAGCTGCTCTTTTTTTAAAAAAAGAGATAATGGAGCCTTGTACTGTTGTTGTTATGTGCCGTGGAGTCGGTTTTGACTCATAGCAATCCTGTATAGGGTTTCCAAGGCTGTAAATCTTTACGGGAGCAGAAAGCTTCATCTGTCTCCTGCAGAACAGCTGGTAGTTTCGAACTGCTGACCTTGTGGTTCGCAGCCCGATTTGTAACCACCACGCTACCAGAACTCCTTGGAGCCTTGTACTACCATGTGGAAAATCTATTACCCTGAGGCTGCCATGCTGTGAGGAAGTTAAGCCACATGGAGATACCCAGGTGTACACACTTCAATCAGAAATCATTGTCTTAGTATTCTCCTAGCTCAGAAACCAGACTGGCTTTGGATGGTTTCACTTCCCAGACATGGAGTCACCTCCAGTTTATGTGTCTTCCCAGATGGCCAGGATGTTCTGCAGCAGAGACAAAATTGCTGTATTTTGTCCTTTCAAGGTTCTTGGCTCACAGAATCTGTGAGCAAGTGCAATAAAATAGTTCCTGTTTTTGTCAACAAATTTGGGATGGATGTTTATGTAGCAAATAGTTAGCAGATATAGCCTTGTCTTCTCTTCTACTGGATCTCCCAAATTATATCCCACAGTAGTAAGCACAGAAGAGGGGAAATGCGATATTATGGAGGAAAATGAGAAATGGCTGCATTTGACCACGAAACCAAAAATCACTCCCGCTATTTTAAGTAGGAAGTACATTAAGATGGTAAATTAAATTCTTGCAAATCTTTTTGAAAGATGAAGAAAAAGAAGGTCAGAAAATGTACTGCGGGAATTCGGGGACTCAGAAAGGGCAGGAACGCAGCAGGGGCATTGACCCCATTGGGGTCCACTGCCTGCAGCAAGAGGCAGATGTTTGCAGGAGTTCACCAGAAGTTTCTGCAAAGCTCATGTGTCTGCCAGTATAGCTGCCAGAAAATAATAGCTTATCTCTCTTCTCCACCTTCCAAATCTTGGGCTAATGCCAGTCACTGACCAAATCTGTTCTAGAAACCAATCTTGCATACAAGAGAGGACCTCAGTGGGTAGAAAAGTATTAAGACCTGACCACATCTTGCATGGTTCATGCATTTGGATACGCAGCATCTATAACTCTATCTATATGTTTAAACTTCAAAACAACAGTACAGCAACTTTAATTTTTGCCTAATATGGTGCAACTATCTCTCCTACATATAAAGGTATACTCATTATTTCCTCAAACCAAGAATTCCAATGTCTTATTAGTGATTGTATCCACCTCTGGATGTTGTTCATTCAATTTGCAGTTCAGTTACAATCAGCTGTAATATAAAGTCTAAATTGTAAGGTAACTACCACCAATACCCCTAACACAGAATATTGGGGAAAGGGGTTACTTCAGTTATCTCTTGCTGCTATAGCAGAAATACTACAAGTGGATGTCTTAAACAAACAGAATTGATTCTTTCACAGTTTAGAAGGATGGAGGTTCAAAATTCAGGGCCCTTGCTGTATGGAAAGGCTTTCTATCTCTGTTGGCTCTTCAAAAAGATCCTGATCTTTTATTTATTTATTTTGTAAACGTGTTTATTTTTTTTAATTTAAGTTTTTATTGTGAATTAAGTGATCATTTACATGGGAGAACATTAGCTTTACATTCATCCCATCATATTTAGTTTCATTGCAATGATTACAAACCCCTCCATGAATCATCAAACAACCAAAGGGTACACCCCTCAAGCCTGCACCCTGGCTGTCAGCACACAGACCTCTCCCTCCCTGAGTCCAGAGTCCCCAGTTGCTCCATCTCTCAACATCATCGCCTCTGCCTCCATCTCTGGCATCACTGTCTCTCTGGATAGGATCCCACACACTGCTCTTTTCCCTTAATGGCCCCAGGGACCTCTGCTCCTGGACTGCAAAATCAACCACTCCCCTCCTTTTGTTACAAAATGTCTATCTTTACATTTCCAACACTCACAGGCAGTCCTGATAGCAATTATTAACTATTGAATCACAAGAGTCTTATCCCCATCTCCTTTTATCTGCCCCATCCAGACATGTTGGAAACCACTTAGTGGAGATTCTACCTTCCTCTGCACGCTCTGGAACTAGGCACCCTCTTGAAAGCTTGTAATCCAGTTATTTCCTGCTTTTGTAGCCCCTTCATTTTGGGTAGCCAATGTCTAAGTTGCCCATCCCTGTCAACCCTATACACCAAGGTGGTGACAATGATTTTCACAGTAAAGGTATGTTTCCTCTTTTGTGCTACTACATCCATAAGTATAGGTCAAGTTCATCAAACTGTATCAGATTACTCTTTCTTTCCTCTTCTTTCTACTTCTAGTTGAGTTCTGATCATCCAGCCATTGAAGCCAGGTCAAGTGGGTACTATCTATATGTATGTGCCAATACTTGTTCTTGTGCAGGTCCCTCACTTCATTTCAGCTGGACACTTCACTTCAGCTGGACACTTCACATTCTGCTGTAATCCTCTGTGTCCATGTCCCTATTTCTGGGTCCAGGAGTCCCCAGGTCTTGCCATACTGCTGGCCAACCAGGTCTCAACCCAGGTTGACAGGAGTCTATTGAACGGAGTCGGATTTAGCTCACAACTTCATTGCTGTTTTCCCCCCACTTCCGCTTATTGATCAGTCCTTTGAAAGTGGGAGGGGATACAAAAGGTTCCAGGGAAGATTCATTCCAGGGAGTTAAAAAAGAAACTACTTTAAACGTTTGAATATATTAATTGTTGTTGTTAAGTGCCATTGAATCAGTTCCAACCCATAGAGTTTCTGAGGAGCAGCTGGTGAACTTCAACTGCCGACCTTGTAGTTCAAACCGACTTTGCAGTCCAGTGCATTAACCCGTAGCAGCACACTAGGACTCCATAATATATCAATTGTTGTGATTGATGTTAACCATCAAGTTGGTTCTGACCCATAGTGACCCTGTGTAGGGTTTCCTAGGAGTGGCTGGTGAGGTTGAACCTCCCACCTTGCAGTTCAAACTGACCTTGCAGTCCAGTGCATTACCCTGCAGTACTACACCAGGACTCCGGCTCATAGCCCCCCTACATAGAGTTTCCAAGGCTGAAATTTTTTATGGAAACAAAAAGCTTAATCCTTCTAAAAGTAGCAGCTGGTGGGTTTGACCTTGACAGTAGCACTCCAGTGCTTATCTGACAGAGCCAGGAGAGCTCCTTTTATAATTAGTACTGATACAGAGAAAACTAAGTACAGTTATCCTCTGCTTTTCAAAAATTTGCATTATGCCACTTTGCAGACTTACATTAGTACATCTTTTGAGTAGCTGAAAGAAATCTAAGCACGGTTTTTGCTTTTACCATTAACAGCAAAAAGTAAAACTAACATTCAGGGCCTGTATTTCAAGGAACTGAAACGATGCAGCATGTACCTCAGTAGTAAGACTGACATGGTTAAACTCCTTCCCTGGGAACTCTTAGTCTTCATCTCAGCTTTGAGCTGCCACAGCTTTGAACTCTATCTGCAAACACTGTATGCTAGTGTTCTTTTAGGTTTTGTCTGTTACTTAGTATGGTTCAGTAGGCTATTATTTTTTGGGTCTAGGAATGCTGAAAACATATTTTCCATACTAATGAATGGTCACTACCTCTTTGTTTTTGCCATTCTGTTTAGGAAAGGTTTTATAAAAACACTTTACTTTTTTAGTAGCCAAGGGAACCTGTAATTTAAAAAGGAGGTGATTATTTATGCCACATAAAGGATTCAAGAAAAGACATGCAATTTTATTGCAATAGATGGTAAAACTGAATATTTAAATTCCATATTAATAAAACAAAGTATTCATAAATCCAAAATGCCAATGCCTTCATTCCCTAGGGCTGCTGTAAAAACTATCACATGTGGGCAGTTTTAAAGAACAGAAGTTGATTTTCTATAGTTCTGGAAGCTGGGAGTCTGGGTTCAAGTGCTAGATTGACCATACTCTATCTTTCTCTTTCTCTGAAGGCTCTAAGGGATACTTCCACGGGCATTTCTTGCTATTCCTTGGCTTTTAGATGCATCTTCTTATGGCATGTGTCTTCCTCCTGTGTGACTGTCTCAATGTCCATTTTCCTCATGTAGAAGATATACCTTGCTCAGGTATGGCCTCATTAATTTGACTGACAGCATCTTTGATGAAAAGCCTTGTTTCCAAATAAAGTCACATTCAGCAGTACTGGGGCTAGGGCTTAGTATATCTCTTTTTAAAATTTATCTTTTTAAAAAAATCAAAATTCAGTCTTGGAGAAAGGTTTGTCCTGAAGAGACTTGATGATTGCTTGCCTTGATGGCTCCCCAGCAAACCACTTGCTTGTTCTTATAGTAACCAATCATACTGCCATTTTTGTTTTGGATTTTTCCTGTTGGTCTTTCTTTGAAGATGTATCTTCTGTTGCCCCAGCTGTTCCAGGCTAGTCTGCTTGTCCTTTCTAGAGGGAATGTCCAACCTTAGAAGGTTTTGGATGGGGCTCAGGATTCCACCTAAGGTCCTATGCACTGCAAAGGCTCCACAAGAAGCCTATTTCACTGGGCAAGTTCTAGAACTCTTTTTAGGTATTTCAATCAGTTATAGGCTGAAGACACCCTTACAAGCTTTCCGTACTCATATTTCCTAACATTTCTTTTTCTCCCCTCAAGTTTCTATTTTACAATAGTAGGCAAGGTATTAATATAGATTTTGTTGTTGCTGTTGTTGTTAAGTGCAGTCGATTAGGATCATAGCAACCCTATATAGGGTTTCTGAGGAGTAGCTGGTGAGCTTGAACCACTGACCTTGCAGTTCAAACCGACCTTGCAGTCTACAGTACCACACCAGAACCCCATATATCTTTTGTGGGGATATAAGTCAGTCAATAATTGTGTGATACAGAAGTAGTCAGAATCTATGAGATGGGAGGTATGTTCATGTGTGTATATATTTGTGTGGGTGGAGAGGAGGGAGAGTATTCAATAGTAAAAACCTTATTATGTCTCATAAATCAATGAAAAATATTTAAAATGGGAAAATTAAGAAATAAAAATGTAAGCATATTTCTTATAAGATATATGAGAACAAATGCCTAAATAAACATAGAAAACTAAGCTAAAATTGATTACTTCTTTGGAGGTGGAAATAGGAAGGAGGAAATAATTGGGTGAGGACTTTTGGTTTTTATTATAAGCTTAATAGTACCACTTAACTTTTCAAACTATAAGCATATATCACATTTGGCAAAAAACAAAATAGTTTTTCTAAAAGTGAAGGCAAAATTTTTCAATATCCAGGGATTAAAATGATATAACACACAGGAAAATCTTTTTGTCATATGCAAATTGCTGCATGAATGCAAGTCATGAGGATCATAGCTGATGCTGAAGATGTCATTGATAATTGATGCCAGGCCTCAGCTCATGGGCTCTGGCCATCTGCAACAATCATTACACACAGACCGAGTGCAACTGTTATGACCCAATTACTTACTGGGCATGGTGCCTGCCAATCATTCAGCAAAACCTTATTGTGCAAATGCATGGACCCTGCTGCCGTCAGTGTTGATGGAGCATAGTAGGGCTATACATTCCTGACTATGACAGCTGACAAGTGATTTAAGACACTTCCTGGCCAAGAGGGATTCTGTGTCTGGTTCCGGTCCTCAACCTCCCTTATATTAGAGGCCTGATACAATTTCTATACACAGAGTCTTCCCAGATTCCACTCTCACACCATTCACAAACTTCCTGCCAATATGCCATCTTTCCTAAATCACTATTAATGGCATCTTTTGTTTAGTCTTTGAATACTTAACACTTCTTTCTGCTTTATATGAGTCTGATAGTCTGTTTGGTTGGTGACTTTAACAGTCATCTTTGGGGTTGGAAATCTGTATAATACTTTTGCTGCACATCCTATTGGTTACGAGCTTGGGTACTGAAAAGAGTGTGCACGAGTTTGAATCCCAGATCGGTTGCTTTTTATGGCTATGTGACATTGGGGGAGTAATTTAACCTCTCTGTGCCTCAGAGGTAATAACACTGCAATACTTACCTCATAGGCTTAATATAAGAATAAAGAGTTAATGAATGTTGTAGAACTAAGTCCAGGTGTGGCACTGTAGGACAAGCACTGGACTTCTAACAATGAAATTGGCAGTTCAAACCCACCAGCTGTTCCTTGGAAACCCTATAGAGGGTCACTATGTGTTGAAATTGACTCCACAGCAATAAAAAATAAAAAAACATAGAACTAAGAAATGTTTGGCTAAATGGTAGCCATGTAATTAATAACCAAAAACCCTGGTGGTGCAATAGTTAGTTACTTGGTTACGAACCAAAAGGTTGGCAGTTTGAGTCCACCCAGAGACGTCATAGGAAAAGGACCAGGCAATCGGCTTCTATAAACATTATGGCCAAGAACACCCTAGTGGGCAGTTCTTTTCTGTTGTGCATAGGGTCGCTATGGGTCGGTACCGACTTGATGGCACCTAACAAAAACTATTAGTTATTTTGGCTATAATCTTTATGGCAGCAGACAGCCAGGTGTTCCCTTTTCGGCACCACTGGACAGATTCAAACAGCCAAATATTCAGTTGCAGTCGAGGGCAAACATTTTGCACCACTGCTAAACCCACATGTGTATGTACCTAATGACATAACAGGCGCTGAAAATTGCTAATAAGTGTGATCACGTTTATAACCCATTTGGAGAGTTTGGCACCAACTGTAACCTCCTTCCTACGGCTGCTCTTGTTGTTATTAAGTGCCATCAAGTCAATTCCAACTCATAGCCATCCTGGATAGAGTTACCAAGGCTGTAAATCTTCTATAAGTGCAGAAAGCCTCATCTTTCCCCCACGGAGCAGTTGATGGGCTCAAACCATAGACCTTGTGATTAGCAGTTTCACTGGATTCCTGTCATGTTGTTGTTGTTAGGTGCCATCGAGTCAGCACTGGCTCATAGTGACCCTATGCACAACAGAACAAAACACTGCCCAGTCCTGGGACAACCTCACAATTGTTGCCATGCTTGAGTCCATCGATGATGCCACTTGGCCAATCCATCTCGCTGGAGTCTTCCTCTTTTTCTCTGACCCTCCACCTCACCAAACATGATCTCCTTCTCCAGTGACTGGTCCCTTCTGACATATAAACCACTAAAAGATAATTTTAAAATGCACTTGGGCTAATCCCCTCAAAAAGAAAGCTCAATTTACTATCCCTGCTCTTCCGAGTTCTTCAATATAGTACTTGACAGATTTATCTCTAGAACTTTCTAAAAAGATCCATCCCCCAAATTCTTTACCACTCATTCTACAGGGCAGTCAGGCTGACCTTCTCCCAACATTTACACAGGTCAAGCTGTGTAGATCTTAGGGCGTCATTCATGACTATAGTTGTACCAACTTCCATTCACCCCTTGTCTAACTCCTTTGTAGCTTAAATACTTAAATGTCTCCTCCTCAGAATTCTTGGTCTCTTAATAAGCCCACTTATTAGTATTTCTCAAAATAGTCAATTCTTTTTCTCTTCAAGAAATTCATCCACTTCCGTAATGTTGTTGTTAGTTGCTGTGGAGTTGGGTCCAACTCATAATGACACAAGGAAATATCGTCTAGGCCTGGGCCTTCTTCGTCACCATTTGTATATTTAAATCTATTGTTGCAGCCATGGTGTCAATTCATTTCACAAAGGGTCCACCTCTGTTATGCTGATCTTCTACTTTATCAATCATGACGTTCTTCTCCAGGGATAAATCTCTACTTATGAAGGTCAAAAGTAAGTAAGACAAAGTCTCACCTTCCTTGCTTCTAAGGAATATTCTGCTGTACTTCCTCCATGGATATAGTTGGGAGTTGATGTGAAATCACTTTTTGACTCATGGCGACCTTATGGGTGCTGAATAGAACTGCTCCTTTGGGTTTACAAGACTGGGACCTTTCAGAAGAAAATCACCAGTCCTATCTTTTAAGGTATCTTGGCAAGGGGTTGAACTGCCAACCTTTGTTGTCCCTTGAGGTTAAAGGATCATGAAAACTATTATGGAGGAGAAGAAACCATTATATACACTTGTCTACTCTATTACTCATACGTTAAGATAATTTTTCTTAAATGACACCTTGATTGATGTATACTCTCAGAAGGTGAAGATCATCTTTTCAGAGTGAATGGAATATTAATTAACTAATGGGAATTTGTGAGTTGACTACTCTATTTGTTGCTTTGTAGGCACACAGTTGGCATAGACTATTATATGATCCCTTTGGCTAATAGTCAAGGTGCAAACTAGTCAGTATATATGGTGCTATATGTGGCACTATGGGTTAATTGGCTGGACTGCAAAGTCAGTTTGAATCCCAAGGGCGGTGATTCAAGCTCTTCGGAAACCCTATACAGGGTTGCTATGGGTCAAAACCGACTCAACAGTACTTATCAACAGCAATAACAACAATGCAAACACAAAATTAAAAAATATAGGGAATGTCAGAAGGTAGTGGACAGGATACAAAAATCTATTTCGTGTGGCAGAAAAACATTCAGCCTTTTATGTAAGTTGCAAAGACATTGGTGAGGATATAAAAAACACAAAATTCAGATACTTAAAATGTATAAATTCAGAGCTTAATTTCTCAACTGCTGGATGAGCACAATATTACTCATTACTCAAGAAATAGCAACACACTTACAGATAAGGAATAGTGATTGTAATTTTACATATTTATGATTTTATTTATTATAGTAGATACATTTACTATAGAAAATTCATAAGACACATAAAAAAATAAATAAAATTCAATCATGATCTAATCCCTCCACCCAGAGGTTACCTAATATATTTTTTACTGTATTTATGTTCAGACACATAGTCATATTTATTAATTCAATAATTATTCATTGCATGCCTACTATGTTCCAGGACTGTCTAAATTTTGGTACACGTAAGTGAGTAAAAATGATAAAAATATTTACATCACAAAAGTGATACTCTAGTAGGAGTATGGATGGGTCAGGGTAGTGGGCAAGTGGGGGACTTGAGCAAAAATATTAAACACAATATTTCAGTGTCATAGGATAACAAATAATGTGACTAGAGAACAAGGCACAATGAGAAAATGTGACACTTGTTCCGCTTAGTAGGAGCCGATGAGCAAATAGAACGAATTTTGTCATTCTGGTGCTAGTTTCTATAAAAATGTTGTAGATTGTTGTTGTTGTTAAGTGCTATCGAGTAGGTTCCGACCCATAGTGACCCTGTATAGGGTTTCCGAGGAGCATGTTGCAGATAAGACCCTTCAAATCCAAACTAAGGAAGAAAAAAAATCATTTCTATTTGTTGCCAGGACCATCCCAAACATTAGTGAACCTAGGGAAAGAGAAAAATGGAGACCCCATATATCATATGTATAAATTGAAAAAGTATAAATCAAGCCAGAATATTGTTAAATGAATATATTGTCCTTTGACAAATACAGTATCTGAACGATCAGATTTGAATTTAGATTTTATGAAATTCTTGAGGTTCTGTCCCAGAACAGAGTGGCAAGTAGAGTATATTTACGACCCTGACCCACATACTGCTCCTTTTTTGTTCCTGCCCTGGTTCATTCTACACCATGAGGGAGTAAGCAAGTGTATGATAGACACCCATATACTTACTCTTATGTCCTCAAGTCCAATCTCTGTCCACACCCTGGCCCTGCTAACAATCACATCCTGCTTGCACTGGATACTGACACAGCTACTCTAAGCCTTTCTGAGAAAAGAGGACCAGGTGGACCCTGGGGAAGTACAAGCATTTAGCAGGTATCCTCTAGAGCTAAAGGCCCTTGAAAACTGTGATGGAGAACAGTAAGAAAACTGGCCAGAGGTCTGCATTAGAGAAAAGCTGCACTGGGTCACTAATGGAAGGCCCTCTGAAAAGTGCAGTCCAGGTTCCAAAACAGAATGAGTCAACTCTTATTGCTCTTGGTGTGGTGTGTGTGTGTGTTAAGAACCATCGAGTCAGTTCTGACCCATAGTGACCCAGAATAGGGTTTCCGAGGAGCAGCCAGTGAACTTTGACCGTCGATCTTGCATTTCAAACTGACCTTGCAGTCCAGCTCATTAACCCCCAGTGCCACACCAAGACTCCTTATTACTGATGGTGTTGTGAAGTGCCATTGAGTTAGTTCTGACCCATAGTGACCCTGTATAGTGTTTCCTAGGAGCAGCTGGTGAGCTTGAACTGCCACCTTCGTGGTTCAAACCAACTCTGCAGTCCAGCACATTAACCCAGAGCTCCACACCAGGACCCCTGTTATTGTTGTTGTTAAGTGCCTTTTAGTCGGGTCTGACCCATGGCAACCCTGTGTAGGGTTTCCGAGGAGCAGCTGGTGAGCTTAAACTGCCAACTTTGCACTTCAAATGGCTTTGTAGCCTAGCGCATTAGCCCACAGTGCCACACCAGGACTCGTCACTGCTTTGCTGTAGTTGACATTAAGTCTTCTTTGACTCTTGACATCCTGGTTGTTGTTAGGTGCTGTCAAGTTGGCTTCTACTCATAGTAACTTTATGCACAACAGAACAAAGCACTGCCTGGTCGTGTACCACTTCACAATTGTTAAGGAACATTGCCAAGGTCTGAGCCCTTTTCATGATTATTGATGTGTTTGAGTCTAGTGTTTTAACCACTGTGTCAATCCATCTAATTGAAGGATTCTCTCATTTTCTCTGACTCTCCTCTTTACCTCTTGCGATGATTGGTCTTTCCAAATGTCATGCTCAAAGTTCTCCACATCCTTGCTTCTAAGAAGCATGCTGGATGTGCAACTGATTTGCTTGTTCTTCTAGCTGTCAAGTTAGTTCTGACTCATAGTGACTCTGCACAACAGAATGAAACACTGCCATGTTCTGTGCCATCCTCACAAATGTTGCTACATTTGACCTATTCTTGCCACTAGGTCATTCCTCATTGGGAATCTTCCTCATTTTCACTGACCCTCCATTTTGACAAGTGTGGCGTCTTCTCCAAGGACTGGTCCCTCCTGATAACATGTTCAAATGATGAGAGAAAAAGCCTCATCATCCTCACTTCTAAGGAGCGTTCTGGCTATTCTTCTTCCAGAATAGATTTGTTTATTCTTTTGGCAATCCACGGCACTTTCAATATTCTTCTCCACCACCATAATTCAAATGTATAAATTTGTCTATGGTTTTCCTTATGCCTTGTCTAAATTTCATTTACATATGAAGTGACTGAAAATACAATGGTGTGGATCAAGTGCACTTTTGTTCTTAAACTGAAATCTCTGCTCTTGAACACTTTAAAGAGATCTTGTGCAGCAGATCTGACTAATGTAATACATTCTTTGATTTCTTAACTGCTATTTTCAGGTATATAGATAGTGGATTCAAGCAAAATGAAGTCTTTGAGAATTTCAATCTTTTCTTCATTCATGATGTCATTTACTGGTTCAATTGTGAGGATTTTTGTTTTCTTTATGTTGAAGTGCAATCTCTACTATAGGCTGTTATCTTTGATGTTTATCCATCCAGACAGTAAGCAATCTTTTTCACCAATATCACAATTAAAATGTATCCATTCTTATTCTGTCGTCCTTTTCTACAGTCTAACATATTAGGCTACCAGAGCTTCTTATATCAATGGAGAAAAGATTGAAGTTGTCAAGGACTTCATTCTTCTTGGATCAACTATCAACACTCACCGAAGCAGCAGTCAAGAGATCAGACAATGTATTGCATTAGGCAAATCTGCTGCACAAGATCTTTTTTAAAGTGTTGAAGAGCAAAGATGTCTGTTAGCTTGAGGACTAATGTGCACCTGACCCAAGCCATGGTATTTTCATTAACCTCATATGCATGTAAAAGCTGGACAGTGAATAAGGAAGATCGTAGAAGAATCGATGCCTTTGAATTGTGGTGTTGGAGGAGAATATTGAAAGTGGCATGGACTGCCAAAAGAACCAATAGATCTGTTTTGGAAGAAGTGCAGCCAGAGTGCTCCTTGGAGGCTAAGATGGCCAAACTTCGTCTCGCATCCTTTGAACATATTGTCAGGAGGAAACAGTCACTGGAGAAAGATTTCATGCTTGGTGAAATGGAGGGTCAGAGAAAAAGAGGAAGACCCCCAATGAGATGGATTGGCCAGGTGGCATCATTGATGGACTCAAGTGTAGCAACAATAGTGATGTTGGCTCAGGACCGGACATTGTTTCGTTCGGCTGTGCATAGGGTTGCTATGAGTCAGTTCCAATTCAATGGCACCTAACAACAACAACAACAACATATTAGTTGATATGAAACAACTCTTAGCTTCCCCAAATTCAGATGTGTGTGACCCCTTTCTCCTGGTTTCCTCTACCCCTTGTTGTGCTTTGAGAGGATAAGAACATAAAGATGTAATCAGGGATCAGAAAGGAACTGACCCTTTGCTTTCCAAACACTGTAACTTCAAGTTATGAAGCTTCCTGTGTCATACTCCTGTGAGGTGAGGAGCTCTTCATGAATGGTCAGATCAGAGCTTTGATCTGGATATTTTATTTTACTTTCCTGGTCATTTTCATCTCTGAAATTAGACAGTTCTTGCAACTAAAGAGTATGAACTCATGTTTTCACTCAGGGACAAATATAAATAGCCTATGAAACAAAAATGAAAGAATGATCAGTTAAAGAACACCATTGCTTTGTTATTATCTTATCAATTTCAGTAAAATCAATGAAAAGCTTACTGGACCACTGTGTGGTTGCAGATTGTTTCTTTACTGTGATTCTGTATATTGAGCCATGAAAGGACCCATGAATTATTAATTCTGAATTCATTCTAGTGCTTTATTTGTTAAGAAGCTTTATGGTAGCTTTGTTTTTCAGGAAAGGGAAAATTGGAGAACTATTTTAAAAGAATACATCGTTTTAAAGCACCTTCTTTAAAATCACCAATAAAATTCTCTCTTGGATAAATGTTATACAGAGAGATTTCCTGTAAGTTATTAAACTTGATTGCATATCTTATTTGCATAAAAATATTCTTGGCACTAAATTCCCTGTGATGCTTCTTTTCAGTGACATGGTCAGTAGGAAGCTTGACTGATTATAGTTCGTGGCCTTGGGCCACAGCCCACTTTTTGGAGTGATCAGTGAGTTGAGCAGCTTCCAAGAGTCAGCTGTAGGAATAATTCAACTTTTCATATCATTCAGTTTTGTCTCCTGAATTTAAGTTGATTGATCTTTCCACCTTCCCATTTGAGCAAGAGGCGCTAGAAGGAGGAAAATGCTAACAATTATTACTTGATTTTTAAAAAAACAAGCTCTTTTTGGCTCTCCTATTTTCAGTTCTTGGGAACTGTGTCAGATCTTGGGAGACCACCTTTCCTATTTACTAACCCTGGGTCACTTTTCAAAATGTCAGCTCTCTATGACTGAGTGGAACTGTTGGCAAATAGGTTACCTTGCGTTCAAATACCTCTTTTTTAAAAAGAAAAAATAATAATAATTTGAGCTTTGCTTGCAGAAAGATTAAGATTATTAAGTATATGTCCTTCCTTTGACAGCTCATCTATTAGCAACTGCCAAGGATCTTGTATGGAGTCCTGGTGTGGCACTGTAAGATCAGCACTAGACTGCTAACCACAAAGTCAGCTGCTCCTTGGAAACCCTATACAGGGTTGCTCTGAGCTGGAACCAACTCAACAATGCTTAACAACAACAAGAATCTTGAACAGGTTTAATCAATCCTTCCATGATGCGATTGCCTGTACATTGGATTTGGTATATGAGATCCAACTTCTTTGTTCTGTTTTCCCACACACCACTCCTTCAAGTCTCTTTCAAAGACGTTTCCATGTCAGTCCAATCTGTATTCCTAATTCATACCACTTCTATTCTACGCTGTTATTACCATTACTTACTAAAATTTCCACTTAAAACCAAATGGCCACCACTTGT